TTGATGTCCTCTAGGGTTTCGCACTGGCAGAGATTATTGTAGTCGGCGGCAGTGAGGAGACCAGATCTGTAACCGCGCACGATGGCCTCAAGGTACCCTCCATGGATATTGAACGTCATCGCTTCGAATCCATACATGGTCGCAGAAGATGGGGGATTCGAGCACAGAGTTCTTCCCAAGTTCACGAGGAAGCGAAGGAGAAGACCCGAGCTGTTTCACGACCCTAATTCTTTGTTTAACGACACAAACAAGGAAATGGAAATCGGTTCTTATCCGCGTCAAAAAAATTAGAATCCGACTAAGGGGCTGTTTGGTATCGGATTTACAGCGGGATTTAAGTCGGATTTACGCTAAATCCAGCCAAACGTTTTTTGAGGTCGCTTAAATCCGATGCCTGCGTAAATCCAAAATGACACTGCCACCGACGCTATATATATATATATATATATAAGACTTAGAGGTAGTAGTTTTGACTTTTTGAAAAAGGCCTTCACCATCATGTTCAAATTTAGAGTTTAGGATTTTGGCTCAATAGATTTTTTTGTACTTGTTGAGAAAGAAAAAGCGAAGAACAACCAATAAATATGAATATAGATTTTGGAGGAGGATGTTGCATTCTTTGAGAATATGACATGCTCACATGACGCATAGACTAAAAGGCAGTATGCAAACGTCTAGGAAGACTTGAAGATGATAAATTTATAGCCAACCATAGAGAGTTTATGGTATAAATAGGAAGTTAATTTGGTTGGAGGTACTATAGGTTTCAACTTATCAATAAATTTTGACCTCCTCTCAAGTTTTTAGGGTTTCATGTAAATGTATATTTTTTTTATTTGTAGACAAAATATTTAGAAAGAGAATTTTACTGGAATGTTGTCTGTTCCTTATACACAACGTGCATTGCATGTGAAACGCTTAAATACACGATATATAATTCCCCTTATACATCTATTTGCTTGTACAATACATTGTGTACAAGCTTGTACACAGTCAATATACAATCAATACACACTCAATATGTATCAATGTGTATAATTCCCCTTATATATAAGTTGTGTATTGATTATGTATTGACTTTGTACAAGTTGTATATTGATTGTGTATAAGCTTTATATCTACTGTGTATTGATTGTGTACAAGTTGTGTACTGATTGTATGTTGACTATATACAAGCTATATATTGATTTTATATAAAGTGTATATTAATTGTGTACAAGCTGTGTATTATTGTGTATTGATTATGTAGAAGCTATATATTTACTGTATATTGATTGTATGTCATCTTGCGCACACTATGCATAAGGTCTATATTGACTGTGTGTTGGTTATATACAAGTGGTGTATTGATTGCGTATTGACCGTGTATTAATAGTTTAGAAGCTGTATATTTAATGTGTATTGACAGTATACAAGCTATGCATTGACTATGTATTGACTGTGTACAAGCTGTATATTGATTATATACAAGCTGTATATTACTATATATTAATGATGTATAAGTTGTGTATTTAATGTATATGTATTGTTTATTGACTGTGTGTCAGCTTGCATGCACTATGTACAAGTTATGTATTGACTGTGTACAAGCCGTGTATTTATTGTTTATAAAGTATGCATTAATTGTGCAATTTATAACCATTGTGTACAAGTTGTGTATAAGCTATTTATTGATAAATTATGCATTGATTGGGTACTAGCTTATATTGACTATGTAGAAACTATGTATTGACCATGCACCAATTTATAACCACTGTCATGTTGTATATTGGCTATGTAATGACTGTGTATTAACTATGTACAAGCTTGTAAGCTACAAATGTAGCCACATATATTCTATTAGTTCCCCCTTATATGCACTATACTGTGTGTTTCCTACTCTTACATTTTTTTTCTTGTACATAAGGTGTGTATAAAGATGAGAAAGAGGTATACGAGTTATATTGTAAGTATTCTGATAATGCTGGTTTTATTATTTGCAAAGATCATCATAGTTAATGGCTAAACTCTAGAAAGATAAAATGCAAAGACGTTGTCTATTCAAAATTTGGTTTCAATAAGGGTTTTGATTTGAATTCCTAAATAAAATTTTGAAAACCAAATATTAGAACGGTTTGTCCAACTATGATTAGATTTATAGTGAATGAAATTAGATTTTGGAAGGTGAAATTTTTTATTAAAAGTCATAATCATGAACTGGATAGACCAGAAGATTGACATGTACTTAGATCATGTAGGAAAGGTGATAAGAAAGCAACAATTCTTAAATTAATGACAGAAGCCGAGATAAGAATCGTTGTTGCATTTTCTTACTTTGTAGATGAAGTTTGTTGGATTATCTAAAAGGGATGCATACAAAATTATTTAGAAAGCGAAAAGAGCAAAGATTGAATATGAGGATACTAATTCTTTGATTCAGCTGTTTAAAGTTTGTTAAGTTTGTGATAATATTTTTGTATGGGAATCAAAATTGATGAATTTAAATATATTATTACATTTTTTTTGGGGTTAATGGGATGGGTAGAACATATTATGCTGCTTTGAAGATGTCATAATTTTTATGCCAGTTATATGCTTAATAAATATAATTTAGTATGTGCACCATTTGTTAGAGTTAGTAATTATTGGCATAATATTCTTCTTGGGTGGCTTTTTTATCTAAGGAAATGATTGAATCATTTACGTTGTTATTTAGAATATTTATAGAGTGATAAATATTAAATAATAATATTTACTGATCATGACATGATAATGACTATAGCCATAGAGGTTGTATTACCTCACATACGTCATATACGAAGCAGTGACACATCTTTAAAAAAAGTTCATCAAAAGTTTATTGCTTCAATAACAGTAACAATGTTAGGGGACTATTTTATAAGTGTTTTAGCAAGTATAACTCTGAGGATGAATTAGAGAAAATATGGGTTGAAATTATTATAAAAGGGAGCCTCCATAACAATGGTTGGTTCGAGGACTAGCTTTATAGGATAAGAAAGAAGTGGTCAATATCTTATAATAAGGACTATTTTAACATAAGCATTCTATCCACACAGCATAATGTGTGTCATGATATCTTAAAGCCCATGGGTTCTATAACTGATTGTTTTTTGGGCCTAGAGAAGCTGATGACCACATGACACCAGAATGAAAAGGATGAAGATTACAAATGTAACCAATCTATAATAATACTTGTAATAAAAAGCTGCCCAATATTAAAGGAAGCTGGTCGATTTTACTCAAAAAAGCTTTATTCTTTTTTTAAAAGAATAATCATTATAGGGTGTAGATGAAATGAGTATATAGTATGTTTCAAGTGATTCATTGACGTTTTATATCAACTGAATAAAGAGTAAGCACCAGTCAATCTCTTGGGTTATTCATGTTGATGCAAAAGAGGGTAGCATTCAAAGCACATGTGAGAAGTTTGAAACGATTGGTCTACTATGTTCTCATTACATGAAATTTTTTAGGTTGTTAGATAATTTAAATATACCTGAGAAGTGTTTACTACTGTGATGATCAACAAGAGCTATGAAAGATATCTATGGTGGCCGCTTGTTCACAGGTTTAGAAAAGTCATTTGAGGCAGGCAGTGACCTCATATTCAAAAATTATATAAGCAAATTAATTTTCATATCAAATTACCAAGAGATCATAGGGCAATGAAAATGCAAAATATTATATGTTGGCTACAACGAAGGAGATGGCTGAAAATGTAGACTTGATCCTTGATAACAAAAGAAAGAACCACAAGTTTCTAAGAAATACACAAGGTGGTACTATAAAAGTTAAAGTTCCACTAAACTGTAGGTCTAAAAGCATCTCTAATGCAAAGTGGAAGGATCACTAAGAAAAGAAGAAGAAGCCTAAGAGTAAGCTTTAACTTACCTAATAATTATTTTTTAGTATATATGATGAGACAAAGTACATTTTGTTGAACTTAATTTTCTTGCATAGAGAAACATGCCGTAAAGGCCTTCAAAACAGATGAAGTTCTCAAATATGTCTGAACGCTTCAATGAGGAATTCATAAACGAGGCTGAAACTAGTCTGTCAGGGCCTGAGTACACAAGGATGATGATGGATATTATTGCCTTAAAGCAATAATTACATTAAATTTTAGTATAATGATATGATTGATGGTTAAATTAAATTTTATCTCTTCTTTTATCTATTAGCACATTTTTATAAGTTAATAATATTTCTTAGCATGGAGTATACTTTTATTTTTTTTTTAATACTAAATGAAGGTTCTTCTATATCATCTTAGCCTACTAAAATGAGGATGGTTTTCAATGCTAATAGTTTTTGTTAGCATATCATGGAGGGAATGAAAGTGAACAAGTTTTATAATATAATTAGAAGTCTATGAGGTGCATGCTCTTCGGGCTATGACTGAGAAAAACTTAGATATATTGATTTGACTAAAATGAAGATTTACTTCCCTTGTATTTTTTTTCTGAGAAGATGCATATAGCATTAAAATGAAAAATATGAGCTATTACAAAGTAGAAAGAAACTACTAGGCACTCCCTTCAAAACAAAGCAAAAGGAGGCCTTATTAGAAAGCAAATAAGCATAATGAAAATATTAGGAAAACAAGAAATGTCATAATGAAAATAAGACCCTCTACTTATCATTTTAAGCCCATAGAGATGGAAGGGATACCAAAGATAAAACAACCAAAATAGTTGATTAGCATCCCAGATTTTCTAATTGAGTAAAAAATAAGAGATAGAATGATTCTTAAATTCCATTATTCTAGTTTCTTTTTTCAAATACCAACATATGCTTAAAATAAATAAATATAGAAAAAACAAGATTGCTAAACAGAATAAAAGAAACGAAAAGTAAGCAAGAGTAATCCGCCAAGAAATGAAATATGATCTTGACGCCTCCACACATGTAAAATGCTCCAAACATGTAACACTCATAGTATATTTGTATATATAATAAAATATTTATTATTTAATATTTTATAATAAACATTTAATTCGTGCATCCTAAAAACTTAATTTATTTATATATGTCCGTTGAAAAAAATTCCTAACTGAACCGTTACAAGCCATCAGAAGAATTAAAACTACACAGGTTGCCCGTATCCTTCATAATAGCCTTTATATAGTTATCTTAACGGAAGAATTTCCATTCAAAATTGAAACCCTGGATACTAATAAGAGAATCATCTAAGAGGCGCACCTGCATCGATTTCGAAATCAAAGACCGGTTCCTCGCCGAGGCCGATATCCTGCTGGTAGTCGCCGGAGACAGGTATATGGATCGCCGACGCATCAGGGGGTGAGAAAGCGGCGCGAATGATCCCCCGAAGAATGTGACTCCCGTCGCCGGCCGTAGGACAGCTGCTGCAGAACACCGCGGATGGAGGGCAAAACCTTCAGATAGCAGAGATTCCATTTCCTCCCTTCCCGCCTCGCTTCTCAGAATCCGAAATCTATGGTCTCCTCCAAAGCTCCGGCGATCAAATGGACGGCGCCGCCGGCAACTTTCCACGTCCTCCAGATAATCCGCTCCGAGCGTGACATCCAGAAAGCTCTGCTCATCTTCGAATCCGCCTCCAACGAGTATCCCTCCTATCCCGCGCCTTCTCCGAGCTCGGTGACCCTCCTGCCGAACCCTCTTTCCTCCCCCTCATCCGCGCCTACTCCCGCGCCCACCTCCCTCTCGACGCCCTCTGTTTCTTCCGCCGCATGAGCTCCGACTTCCTCCTTCGCCCTTCCCACCGCTCCTACAACGCCATCCTCGCCGCTGTCGTTACAAACAACCATCTTTCCCTTGCTAAAACCCTCTTCAACGAGATGAAGCTAAGCGGTGTCCCCTTCACTGTTTCGTCTTTCAATATCCTCATCAAGGCCCTTTGCTCCTCCGGCGTCATTGAAGCCGCATTCCGCATATTCCATCGAATGCCAGGCCGAAGATGCCCGCCGGACGCGTGCACTTACAGCACTTTGATCGACGGGCTTTGCCAGCATGGAAGAGTCGATGATGCCTGTAAGCTGTTTGATGAAATGCCGCAACAGGGACTTTCCACGGTAATCACTTTTACTTCTTTGATGCATGGTTTGTGAAGGTCTGGCCAGTTCGAACATGCTCTCAAGGTGTTTGATGAGATGAGTAAGAAAGGTGTTAAGCCCAATGTGGTCACCTATAGCTCGTTAATTGATGGGCTTTGTAAAGGTGGCCGTCCATTTGCTGCAGAAGTTTGAACGCAGAAGCGTCGGCTTTATCGAACTCAAAAGCAATTTTGAATACCTTGAGTTCTTATTATATCCAGCCCTAAACGATTCTCTTATTTTCTCGGTAGATTTCTGATTCTGAGAAGCGAGGCGGGAAGGGAGGAAATGGAATCTCTGCTATGATGGTTTTGCCCTCCATCCACGGTGCTCTGCAGCAACGCTCTGCAGCAGCTGTCCTACGGCCGGCGACGAAAGTCACATTCTTCGCGGGATCATTCACGCCGCTTTCTCACCCCTGATGCATCGGCGATCCATATACCTGTCTCCGGCGACTGCCAACAGGATATCCGCCTCGGCGAGGAACGAGTCTTTGATTTTGAAATCGATGAAGGTGCGCCTCTTAGATGATTTTCTTATTAGTATCCAAGGTTTCAATTTTGAATGGAAATTCTTCCGTTAAGATAACTATAAAGGGCTATTATGAAGGATACGGCAACCTGTCTTGTTTTAATTCTTATGATGGCTTGTAGCGGTTCAGTTAGGAATTTTTTTCAATGGACATATATAAATAAATTAAGTTTTTAGGATGCACGAATTAAATATTTATTATAAAATATTAAATAATAAATATCATGTGGATAGTAATATGTCTATTATATATACAAATATACTATGAGTGTTACATGTTTGAAGCATTTTTCTTTGTCCCATATTTAACATAAAGATGAACTCCTATCTTCATAAAAAAAAAAAAAAGTTGAAAATTAAATAAAAGTTTCAAAATACTCTTAGGACCAGTTTGGAGCATTTTTCTTATTATTATTATTAATTTTTTTTTCAATCTGCTATCACACACCTATTTAACAAATAATTTATTGTTATTTATTAGAAATATCTTTGGTGAGAAATTGTACTTGAAAATCAAATATTATAGAGTATAATATACATTAAAAAAAAAAGATGATGCCAGACTTTTTCAAAAATAAAAATTACAATACTCAACAACTTTAAAAAAAAATTATTTTTACTATGATAATTTTATAATCAAATTTATAAAAAACTACAACAATCTCAGAAAAATATCCATCTACAACAAGAAGAACTTATTGTGATCAAATTCCAAGCTCATTGAGGAGCTCATAATGCTTTGAGACAGGAACCAAAGTGTTGGCCACTATGGCACCACTGGCTGCAACTGCAGGAACTCCAATTCCTGGGAAAGTAGAATCGCCACAGCAAAAGAGCTGAGGTAAGGGTGTCGAATGACCGGGGAAAGTACCTTCTCCAGCTTTTATAGCAGGTCCATAGGTTCCTCTGTGCCTTCTGAGGAACCTTTTGTGCGTCAATGGTGTTCCCACCAATGCCACCTCACATTTCTCACGGATGAAACCAGACCCCAAAACACGCTCAACAGCCTTCCACATTACCTATATCAGCCAAAAAACAAGAAAAATATTAACCTTTGAATAATTTAGTCTACAACTGTATAAAATGCACAAATATGAAAGCTGTGAGCAGCTGTTTTAGACATTGTTTGGTGCGGCCACTTGACGGGAGAACCGTCAAGTTTTCTCTCTGTACAGTAAAAACGCAACTAACTGTAGTAGTTGTAGACAGAGAGAAAACCGGACGGTTCTCTCCGCCCGGAGTCCACACAGAATAATCTCTCCCTACACAGACTAGCTCTAGTAGCCACTGTCCAATTTCTGGAAACCTGTCCTTAAACCCTAAACCATGAACCTACGTAGAACTAGAGATTGGGTTGGCTTACTTGGGGAAAAACTTCACTATATTCTTCAATTGATGGTTTGTAAAACTCTTGAGAGGAAGCTGTGTGAGGCATGTAGAGATCAGTGCTAATTAGTACTGTTCTATGAGGAGGGAAGTTAATCTCAACCGGAATGAGCCATTGGCTTCATTCACTTGAGCTAGAAAAGCACCAAGAGCTTCTTCATGTGAGAGAGAGTGAAAGAGAATTTAGGAGTAAAACTTAAATATCATACATAATTATACAGAGATTTTCTCAAATCTAGAAGGGCAAGAGCCTCAACCAACCCTTCCCTGATTCCGTCAGGGGTTAAATTGGAGAAATATAAGAAAAATGAGGGGGGAGAATTCAAAATAGCCCCACCCCCTCTATTTATATGTGGCCAATTGATCATCTAGGATTACTTGATATCAATTTTGTATACTCAGCGGATTAAATTGGAGAAATATGTTATTCTGAGACTATGTTGGACAACTATGAATAATCAGGAGACTATTTTGAACTTTTTTTTCGAAGAACAACATACAAAACTTATTGTACCTCTGATCGCTCGGCTTTGAGCCTTTTATACTCAGCACTACGGCGGTCCAGACCTTCCCACAAGCTGTAAGGCTCAGTCCCTGGAGTATAAGCATGCAGAACATGCTTCCCAGAGGGTGCTAGCTCTTTTCCAAGTACGCTAGGAATTGAAATCAACACCACATTCTGTTCAGCGTCAACACCTCGGCTCCAATCATTTACAACAATGTGATGAATTCCCAGATTCTCAGGAACAATCTGTAAATAATTCGAGTTAAATCTTATTGACATATTCTAAAAAGTGATATATTATGCTGTTTCATTTCACTATAGCAAAAGCATTATACCATGATAACTTTTATACCAAATGTATGAAAAACAAATAGTCTTCATTTGTCAGTGCAAGTAATACAGCAGTGGTAAGATGGCAAGCTATCTGTCTCAGAACTAGCTGTTTAATACTAGGAAAAAATTTGGACCAAGCAATTTTTATCATGATGACTTTTAGAATCGTTGAATTTGCTTAGACATGGAATTTTTATTCTTTGCTTTCTATGGCCTTCCGATGACCTGGTTAGGAAAGTTGAGGTATTAAATTTGACTTATGTTAAGAAAGGTAGAGCTAGACCTAAAAAGATTTGATTAGAAAATATTAGAAATGATCTTTCTTTATTAGATTTAAATGATAATTTGACTTTTAACAGGACACAATGATGAAAAAGGATTCATGTAGCCAACCCCAAGCAGTGGGACAAAGGCTTAATGTTGTTGTTGTTGTTGCTGCTTTTTATGGCCTCTCGTCTGTCTCTCATCTCTATTTCTCAATTTCTTTCACTTTCTTCCCATGTCAGTCCCCGATTTACGCTTCACTTCCTATGGATTTTCCATATATTTTTTCTCCTCTTAAATAAGAACGTTTTTTTTTCCTTTTAAAACTTTTTGAAAGTCCCTGGCATCATTTACTGTTCAAAAGATTGTATCTCACACTGTGTTGCACCGATACGGATACGGCGACACGGATACGACACGATACGGATACGGGACACGTCAATTCTTAAAAATATAGGATACGGGTACGGCGCGGACACGGCATCATAATTTATAAATCATATATAAAAATTAAGAAGCAATCAAAATATAATATTTGAAATTACAAAAAAAATGACAACAACATCATTTGTAGCCTTGTAGCTTATAAAATCAAAATATAAGTAAGCATTAAATGTCTAGTACAAAAACAAAAGCATAAACATAAATTGTCTATCACATAAAGTTTCAACTATTCAATAGAAGGAATGATATGATTAGCTTCTTCAGTGGTTTGTCTTTGAACTTCTATATCATCTTCAATAAATATCATAGCTTTTAATTCAGGCTCATCAAGTGAAAGATTAGTAATTTCTAATATTCTCATATCATCAAGAGACTCAAATCCATCTCGGAAATGAGAGAACTTTGCTCGCAACCGCGAAAGTAAATACGATGCATCTTTTTTTTTCGGATTTCTTTTTTGCTTTTCAACGGACACGTGTATCAGATACGCGTGTTCTTTTGAAATTAAATAGTATTTTAATTGGATACGTCTTTGGTGTATCCGACACGTATCGGTGGAGTATCGGAGGCGTATCCGTGTATCGGTGTATCGATACAGCACGCCTTCATAAATAGGTGTATCCGTGCAACATAGATCTCACAGTGCACCATAAAAATGTTTTAACAGATCAACCTCTTCTTCCTCCCAATTGGGACCAATTGCTCCCAAAGTTGACTTAGGGGGCCGATGGAATTCTGCGGATTCCTACAGTGAATTGGAGAATGATGATTTCTAATTTTTGTTGTTGTAGACTATGGATTGGAGGGAGGGACAAAGAAGCTGATCCTTGCCTTAACGTAGGTTGTTAGCAGAGGAAAAGTCTGATGGGATGAGATCATGAGACATTTGTAGATCACATCAAATGCAAACTGTTAGAATAGTTAAAAGATTTAGTGATTACAGGAGAAAATTACACAAGGAGAATTTGGAGGAAGAGAAGCCTAAATTAGAGAATGAGGAAAATTCCTCAAAGGAGGGTGAAGTGTTGATGGAGTAAGCTAAAGAGCTTGCCTAATATGAGATAATGTTGCTCTCCTGAAGACCTCAATGAAAGTCATTTAACCCCATTAGATAATATCTACCAATCATCTAACATAGCTGGAGTGGTGAAAGAATTGAAGCTTATGCCGTTAGCAGGGATGCAAAAATTCATTCACATTGTTGCATGCAAATAGCTTTGGAGGCTAGTTCTTCAACATTAAAATTATGACAAATATTCTTGTTAAATATTAAATCAATAATAGATGCATTTGATAAGCTAAGAATTTAATAATGGCCTGAGGTTTGGGCATGGATTTTCTTGAATATGTGGCACGAAAAGTATTTGAGGTGTATTCTAACTAAAATATAGTTACTTCTATTACATTCTCGAATTTTTTATGAACACCTTTAAAAAAAATTATTTTCATTTTGCAAAGAAATATAATTTTTTATATTAGAATATAATTTACAAACATGCTAAACAAATGAATAAACAAAATTAGAGCATGCATGCATGTTTAAAATAAATAATAGTTTCCAAACTATCACCAATAAGAAATCGTAAAAACTTAAGTGACTTCTTGAACAATTTGGCTCTAGAAGCTGTCATATTAAATAGAGTTAACCATTAAAAAAAATCTTCCGTAAAGGCATTTAAATGTCAGCCATAATTCAGAAATTCAACTACACCCCTCTTAAATAAATCAAATGTGGCAAAACCAATGAAAAATATCAGAAAAAAAAGGTAATTGAAATGCAAAATGTTAAAAATAGGAATATCAAACTTGATTATCTTAGATGTAAAAAAGAGCAAGAGTTATAACTTCACATATTTACAGAGAATCTGAAATAAGGAAGCTTAAAAAGTGGATATTATTATTAGCATAATTAAACCTCTTGTATTTACTTTATTACTCAAATGCCATGTTTACGGTATTAAATACCGTCCCTGTAGTTCGCTTCAATATAGAAATACAATTTCCTTTTTCTGTTTCTTTCTTGGTGTCTTCTGCCTCAGCTGTTCTCTCAATTATATCCTCACCTGTGCATCAAAACCCAAATGGAGATGCATAAATGATTCACACTGAGGGGTTGCCTTTATCTTTTCAGTATAAGAAGTTGGTATGGCATCCGGTGGCAAAAGGTTCAAAGTATCTAACATCGAAGCATTGCTGACTACGGCCTTTTTGGCCTTTACAATCTGCAAAAGGCATTTCATTGCAATGTACTTAAGTGAAAGAATCAATACAGCATTTCTGTAAAATATAATAAAACAAAATGCTTACACTACCACTGCTTAGCTCTACACCGGTAGCTCTACCATTTTTAACCAAAATTCTTTTAACGTGAGCATTAAGTGCAAGCCTTCCACCAAATTTCTGAATTCCCTGAACGAGGACACCTACAACTGATCCAGTTCCATGTATAGGGTACTCGAGCAAGCATCCCTTTTTGTACCATTCTGCAAACATGTAAACCTAAAAAAGTACAACAAAAAGAAAAAAGAAAAGAAACCAACCATAAATTTTATATCATAGATGGTATTCTAGAAATGCATACAATGACACTCATAGGGTTACAAGCTATGATGCACCGACACTTCTCCTCAAAGAGGCGTGCAGTGTCCGACACCGTATCCAACACGACACTCACCTGACACTCCTCTTACACGTTTCGGACACGCCGAAAGCGTGTCCAATTAAAAAATATTAAATACAAATTGGACACGCGTATCTTAAATATTTTATGAATTTTTTAAATATAATTTCTTGTATTTGGCGGGATTTAAACTAAATTTCTTATTTCCTATCCATAAAACCAAATCAACGTCCGCACTTAATACCCAATCATCGAATATTCTCATTTTCATTTCTTTTTGGCAGTGAAGGTATTTTCATCTCCTCTCTCAGTGACTGATAAACGGCATCAACGTCTAACTCTCGACATCCTAATACTAATCATTTTAAGCACAAATTCTAGTTATATGATTTATTATTTTCAAATTATTTTTAAAATTATACTTATTTAATTTTTATACACTATTTTTTAAATATAAAAACTATAATACCGTGTCCAACCCGTGTCTGTGACATATATTTTCAATAACTGACGTGTCCCGTTTTCGTGTCCGTGTCATGTCGTATCCGTGTCACTATGTCCGTGTCTGTGCATCATAGTTACAAGCAACTTTTTTAGACTTCATTTGGGATGGCTCATTCCTTTTTGTTTTTCCTATTAAAACCTGTTTTCTTAACCAAAGTTTCAGTCATGTTTTCTGAAAAAAAGTCATTCTAAGACAATTTTAAAAAAGCTATGAAAAAAATATTATCCAAACGGACAATATTTTTTATTTGCTGTTTTTTTTTTTCACAAAAGTAACCAAGTCCCAAATGAAGCCTTAGGTGGCAACCATCAAGTATTCATAGAAGGGATATTGTTATGCAAGAGAAGGCATAACGTTATGCAAGAAAGCTGATTGCTGGAGTTTCACTTATCAGTTTTGATGCTTATTTAACTTAATCCAATACACGATTAGTCAACAAATTATCGGAGTAATGCAATGAGCTGTAGGAGAGAGCATGGCAAGATGGAATGATTTTTAATTGCTACAAAGAAAGAGTGGCAACAGATAAATATTATTGAGGGTTGAATGATAAGAACATTAAAAGCCATGATACACTTACACTTCTCCTCAAAGAGGTATACAGTGTCCGACACGTATCCGACACGACACGTGTCAGACACATCGAAAAAGTTTCCGATTAAAAAAATATTAAATACAAATTAGACACGAGCGTCTTAAATATTTTATAAATTTTTTTAAATATAATTTCTTGTATTTAAAATTTGTACTTATTTAAATTATAAAAATTAAATTTCTTATTTCCTATCTGCAACCCAAAATCAATCGCCCGCACTCAATACATCATTCAATGAATCTTTTACTTTTTACACAATCTATCATTGTTAAAACTATCTCATTAATATTTATTTATATTGATTTTCAAAAATTACCAATGAGATTTGGAAAGGCGAGAACTTTGCCTCTTGCTTTTGGCCTTGGGTGATTTTTTGGCATTAGCATATAAGCGGCATCTTTCACCAGGATGAGCAAGCCTCCTCACTAGTGTTCCATCAGAAAATAAAACTGGGAAAAAAAATTTCTTTGCTTTCACCTAGTTCAAAATAGGTTAGTAGAATTGGCTGCACGCCTTTGTGAAAGCTCTTATTGATGAAATCTTTTTTATTAATCATAAATAAGCCAATGAGATTAAATCAACACTCCTAATCGATGTAGATTGCTGAAAAATGTTTTTCTTCCTTCGTCTACAAGGCTGTTTTGGTATCCTATTGTAGCCAGGATTTAGGAAAGATTTAGCTTAAATCCGGCTAAAGAGTTTCTGGATATTTTTAAATCCAATTAGATTGATAAAAATCGTTTCAGCCCAATTATTAGTTAAATCCAAGATTAAAAAAAAGAAGTGGTTTAGCCTAATTGCTAGGTAAATCCAGAATTAGTTAAATCTCATCATTAACATAATTAACAAATTTAAAAATTTATTCTTCTCACAAATCTTAAATCTCAGAACAAATGGCTACTAGTGTACAAGTATTTAGCAAACTTTAATAGTTGCCATGTCAAACAGTTATCTAAGTTGTTTGATACCCTATTTTAGGCAGGATTTAAGTAAGATTTAGCTTAAATCCCACCAAAAAGAATTTTAAGGACTTCAAATTCTATTGTTCTGATAAATCTCATTTCAATCGAGTTATTGGTTGAATCAGGAATTTGATAAATCCCTCGACTGGTACTATTTAACAGATATAAGAATTTCTCCTCACACAAATCTTAAGTCCTATACAAATAGTCAAACAATCTATTAGGATCTAGCAGGATTTAAAATAATTGTTATGCCAAACAATTTTAGATTTTAATCCTCTCAAGGAACTAAATCTCTAAAACACTAATAGGATCTGCCATCCATCATTCTACATGTCCACTCCCTACTGTCAAGTTCTCAAAATTAAAAAAAACATATAAGATGACTTATAAATCCTGTGAGTCCAACAGAAATATATACTTACCATTTCAGCTGACAGTACGCCATCAGATTTCACCCCTGCAAGTAGAAAGCTTAGCAAATCCACCCAGTTCCGGATAAAGGAGTTTTTAATGTCGAGTGAGTCAATGATTTCAGAAAAGGGTCTCAAAAGCTTAGAAGCTCGTAGAGCTCCTTGAGGCCCCATACGAATTAAAGACTTCACCAAAGAGGGAGCATATCTAACTGCAGCCGTGGAGAGAACACCCCAATCGCCTCGTAGAGAAATTGGGGGCAAAGCCATTGCGGCTGCAGACATAGGAAGAATCGCATCCTGCAGCAAAGTAATTTAATTTTGCCAAGGAAGAAATGTAACAAATTATTTAGAAATTAGACAAAATTAAGAAAATTAAACAATAAATTTGGATCATGGAAGTTGAATTAGTAACATTTTACTTTGACACAATTTTTTTAACCGAAATTGATGGTTTGACAGTTGAGTAAACTCAAGTAAATGCATTTACATGTTTTTAAATTGGAGAAAGTTGCACAGCTATGGGAGATTTTTTGTTTAACATTAAAGCATATATGTAAGCTATCTACCCGACTATTTACAATTTTTTGTAAACATTAAATCATATATGTAAACTATGTAAGCTATTGGAACTTAAACGTTAAAACTCTCCTCGACGACCCGAGAAGGGAAAAGAAACAAGTTTGCAAAGAGGCTGGGGGCACAAATTTTCAAAGCCAACGTTAATTTAAAAATACAGTTCATACAACCTAATTTTTTTCCACATTAGAAGAAAACTAATTCCTAAATAAACTCTATTCAAACAACAAATTAAATAGCATCAAATTAAAAAATAACTCCAACAAAAATTATCTTAATCCTAAATTTAGAATTCAAATAATAAACTTATCCAAACAAATTTTAAACCCATTCTTTTTTTTGTAGTTTGAATTTTAGTACTATAATTCAGCTTTTAGGAACTTGAATCCTTGATCTCTTTCAAAAGATGTTTGATTGATGATTCGATTGTGTCTATGGACTTTTTACAACATTCACTTAAATCTCAAAGGTGTGATCTAAGAATCACCATTGTCGGCAATCTCCATAAAAAAAATCGAACTAAAACTTCATTGAACATGATCCATTTAGTCTTTCTACATCTGATGCCCAAATGGCAATAAATGGTTTGATTGATCACCTACTAAACTTAATCATCCCTGAACAGAAAACAACAACTCCACCCATAAGATTGGTATGCATGAAGCATTTGGTCTTGTTAAGCTCTTGATGCATCCAACCAATCATACAAACCAAGAAAATATCTTCAAGTTAGTGATCTGACCAATCAAATGATCATGATACCAATTCACATACCAACTGTCCATTTGATGCAACCTAATCTATGATACCAAATTTAATGTAGGTTGTATCAACTGCTAGGTTTTTATTCAAAATCAATGTTCAATAAAGAAAAGCATAAACGTAATGCAACAAGTAATGAATTTTTTTTTTCTTATCTTTGATCAAGCATTAAGCCGTCCTAGAACTAGCATGCACTGTTTATTTGGAAGCATACTATCTAACTCAACAATTATTTACCATTCCGATGCATATAAAGGATCACCGACCAAGAAATAAGGGATTGTTTCCTCATAATAAAAGAGTTTAGCTCTCACAAAAGAAGTTTCATGAAAGATGCGATCATATAAGTACATGGGCACTACAAATTTGATATTCAGAAAGCTTCCATGGCACTATTTGGTTATATATTTCTTATATTTCAAAAAAATGTGGCAGGATGCAACTTTTTATCGCCAAATCTGTTAATAGTAGCTGTAAGAAAGATGTAGTCTGACTGAAGAAAAAAAAAAGAATTTCTATGATACCTGCAACAGGTTTCTAACAATTTACATCTCCACAATAATTCTACAAGTATTTTTATAGAAAGCTATAACTGCCCCCAAAAAAACTGAAGTCACATTTAACCCAAAAGCCCAATACACACTCTCATATTACATTGTATCATACAAGATTTTTTGTAGGACAAACAATGGACATGTGCGATCCTCTAACCTGGTGGTAAATTCAACTAAGCAAAAATAGATAATACACTTCTAGATTTCACAACTTGGACGATTAATAATTTTGAAAATAAACTGAAAAAAGTAAATAAAATTCCCAATTCATCACTCAAACATAAAAATAAAGGTGCAACACAACCATCAAGTTCATCATTATGTAGGTTTTGGCGCTAGTTTAAATCATTTAACGGGATGTCAAAGCTCTAAAATCACCAATCTCATGGATAGTTTCCTCTATAATGTAGTGTTTTAGTCACCAATGATAACAAATTATGGAAATGTGCAATGATTCTTTGAGCACAATAAATAGCTTCATTATGAGCAATGGTTAGTAAATAATTCTGTGCGGTGCCAACAATCCAATATATGCTATTATTAAAACTTTTTAATCATAATAATAAACTTACTACTGAAGTTTAATCAAAGTGATCTAAAATATCATGTTGTGAGATGATAATTTAAACTGCAAATATGAGAAGAACAAATAAAAAAAGGAATAATAAAAATTTCCGTACAAGAAGTTTTTTCCATTCCTGAACCGCTTCAGGACCCACGTACGTATCCAAATCCTATAAAAGATTGAAAAACAGAAAACAAAAAAATGGTTATGAAACTATAGTTTAAGAAATGAAGGAACCAATGGTGTTGATATCAAGAAAAGGAATTTCTAGACTAACAAGAATTAAATTTACAAGGCATGATATTATAGTATGTTAATGGGCCAATGAGCATGGAATTGACCATTATTCTTTGACTATTTACAACAAAAATAGCAAGGGATGACAGAATTATTCCTTCTTTGCAGGAGGAAAACAGAATTATCATTACAGCTAATATGAAATGATTTCATTGCTCATATTAATTCTTAATTTTAGAGAAGCAAAAAATATATATAATTGAAATGAAGTCATACCTTATAAAACTCTGATGGACCTATTCTTGATAAGAACTCGCCCTCAGGTATGTATACCATCCATGAGTTATAAGATGCACAAGGAACATTCTCGCCCAAAGCATCAAGAACCTATTACATTATTAAAGTGGGAGGTCACACCAGTTGAAATAGAATACTGTGAAAAAAAAGAGAAAAAAATGGATTGCAAAATACAGTAGCATGAATGTGTGCACAATTTTGAAGCCGTTTTTATTTCAATTTTTTATGCGGACAATGGCAAAATACTGAAATGTGCACGGTATTTTTTCACTAGTTGGAATGCATTCCGGATTGGTCGCTCTGTCTACCTAGTGTAATATAGATGACATGTTCAAGGGAAGGAGAGGAGATATTTGAGATGGATATACAGAGAGAAAGAGAGTCAATAGAGAAATTACAATAATGGTGACGGGAAGGGGCTGAGAGGGAAATAGGCGGGAGAGAGCTTGGGGAGTAATGGAGAAAAAACTGAGTGTGCATGAGGGAAGGGTCTTCTAAGGATTTTTTTCCTAATTTTTTATATTATAAGAGGATCGGATTGATGCAACGCCTTTCAGTCTGTTGTAGAGAACAACCTACCTTTAATAAATAGGTGGATGAAAAGTGAAAACTGCCGACAAAATTAATTTTTTTATATTATTAATATTTCTTACTCTTTATTATTTATTTTGCATATAGTTTTTATTTTATTTTTATTTATCCCTTTTTCAAACTTTGTTATTGTTATTATAATAATAATAATTATTATTATTATTATCATAATCACCATCATCAGCATCTATTTTAGAAATGAGCAAACTTTCCATAAATTCTCTTTTTCCTCATGCATGGCAAATTTTCATTCGCTTGTGCGACAACTTGAGTAATATAGGGAGATCTTTTTGGACGGTTTTGCCATTTCAGACTCATCTGAACAGTCTATTTGATGAAATGGTGACAGTTGGGTTTTCCTCTCATGTGAATGTGATGCCCTTAATCAATTCCTCATGAATTGCATCCGTCTTCCATTATTGTTGTCGTATTTAATCAGTTCACTTGTGAATTACATATGGAGGTCACCATACAATGTGAAGCCGATTGGTTCAAAATGAGCTTTATCATGCTAAGACAAACTCATCTTAAAGAGTTTTGATTTTATAAAGGCATTTACAATCGAAGATCTACTTTCCAATAAGTAGATCAACAAAATCACAAGTATAAATTTGATTTAAGGCATCAAGTTCTTTCTATAAATCTTTTTGCTAACTAGAATTAAAACAAGACTCATGGAAAGTGGAGATGTAGTAACAAACAATTTTTTTGGAGATAAATTGGAGGATTACATTAAATGGAACAAGTAGACAATCAAGCTGAAGGAATGTCAAAAATTGAACTCATTGCTTTCTCTAAAGGTATGGTTGTCATATTTGGATCATACAAGAGCATTAGTTCCACGACTTCAGGTTGAGTTGTTACATCAAAGGAAATAAAAGTTATAGATGGTATGATAATGCACTAACCTCTAGAAAAAAAAGATCTAGGACTTGCAATTGAAGGAGGAGGAGGTATATAGTGGGATAAAACTGAGACAATGAAGCAAATGTAGTATATTCCTAGAAAATGAGAGCGAGAAATTCGAAGGAACTTTGATACTAGAACCTAATAATGATATATCTTATGCTTAAGCTTGTAATCCAAGAAGTTGTAGAGATGAAAAAAAACTTTGAAGTTTACTTGGCCCATTGGCTTGAAGAAGAATAATGCATGAATAGCCAAAAAACAAAAAAAAAATTGAGCAGTCAGGAATCCTACTATAGAAGATTCATAAGGTGAGTAATGTAAGTAGTGCGAGAGAAAATCAAATCGATATTATAAACGACTATGAGAGCAATCTCTCCCCATAAACAATTAGGATAAGAGGCTTAAAGAAGCAAGACACGAGTAATTTCAAGCATATGGTTTTGCTTGTACTCAACCCAACCATTTTGTGCAAACGTTTGCAACGAAAGTATTGAGATAGAGCATTGTGTTGATGTAAGAGATGAATAAGGAGTGTTTGTATTCCATAGAATTGTTAGTTGGACAGTACGTTGAAGATAATACATGAATTATGGCCACAGAATTTGAATAAATTTGATAGAGTTTTGACTGAACTTTAAATGAGTATATCAAACATCTGAGAAAGTTCGAGTGCCACATATGGTAGAGTAGGCACAAGCCCCAAACATCTGAGAAAATAAAATCAATATGAGCAATAACACACTGATCAATATTAAGAAAAGATATTGCAGCTATTTTGACAATTTATAAACAATGCAATGAATCATATTATAAGTTACAAACCTTAAGTGATCAATAGAAACAAGATTGCAAAGGGAACCAAAAAAAGCATGAACAAGGCAAGTAAGCTAGAGATTAAGTGAGGTGGAGTTGGTGAAAGCATTAGATACCGCAAGAGGTGAAATGATGGAACATCAAGATTGGTGGGTGCAAAATCTAAACCACTGTGATGCATTGTCCCAAGAATTTGTCTCACATTAGGGTCCTACACAAAATAACTATAATATCCATTATCTGAAATTCAGATAAATTTTCTATTAATAGTCATTAATTTTAAGTTAATTAGTAATCATGAGTCTTAGAATGTTGAATGAGTTAGAAAGTAACCAAGGTTTAGGGTATGAAAAGTGAAAATCCAATGTATGGAGTTTTCTTTGAGGGCGCCGCGACTTTCACCGACATTTCATGCATTTTCTGAATATTGTATCAAGTATTGTTGCATTGCATTTTCATTATGCATTAAATGACATTGGAGATACTATGTTATGAAAGATGAAAAAGTGCACTCTCTGTTATGTTATAAGAGCCCTAAATGTACTCTTTCGGCCCCATCTGCCTGACACAGATGTGTGAGGGGTTCCGGCCCTACTTGTTGAAAGTAAATATGGGAGGTTAAGAAACATTGTAAGTACTATTCTGACCCCACCTGCCTGATGTAGATGTGAGAGATATTATGGCCCCACTTGTTATATGTAGGTGTGAGAGGTAAAAAGAGGCATAAGTAGAAGTAGAGATATAAATAGACATTAGGATATGTGCATTATAATCATCACATTTTCAATGTTAATATTTTAATGAATTAAAATTAAGGAAAGTTCTGAAATATGCATTAGTGAACTCTAAATCTCTACATGAATTTTGTTGAAAAGTAAAAGTGAAAGTTATATGCAAGTGAACCTCTTAAAATAAGTATTTTGTAACACATTTGGAGACTTATGTGAAAATGGTTATGTGATTATGAAAGAATGATTGTTAACTCTGAGATCTTGTATATACTAGAACTCTATTAAGTTCAGGTTTTGCTTATGCTTTTATTATTTTGCAAGTCTTTATGTTTTCCTTTAATTATTTGCTTTTAAATATTTGAATTTGATATTGATACCTACGAGGGGTGAAGGAGGGAGTCTACTGAGTTAGTCGAGTTCACTCTATTGCTTTAAATATTTCAGACAAAAGAAATGGTCTATTTGAATAGATTAAGTCTAGAGAAGGATTCTCTGAGCTTGAAGTATTAGATATCGATTTTGTAATCCAATTTTACTATTTTGATATATAGACATTTTTTAGCTGGATTATTATATTATGTTTTAGTGAAATGAAACTTCATTATACTGCTTCTATATTTTGGAAAATATAATAGCTCTAGTTGTTTGTTATTGGTTGATGAGTTAATTAATTATAGGTTTAAAAACATACAATACTTCCATTAGGTTCTAGGACGTCACAATAACTATATTAAGAAAACATAGCATGATATCCTATTTCACATAATTATCCAATAGAAATATGATTGTGGTCTCGTTTGAATGCCAAATCAGTATGACAAAAATAAGATAAAGACGTGGATAATATGAGTAGCAGAAAAACGGAGTTATTTGCAATGTGTGTCAAAGAAACAAAGAAAGTAGGATGCTTGGTGAAGAATAGAAAGTAGATCAGCAGCTATCATATGATTATGGCATGCAAAATCAAATTTTGACTAAAATTACCTAAGATGGTGGGCATAACAATGCAAAAAGGCATATTATATTTGAATTTGTGCTAGTCAAAGGGTGCATGCAGTTCAATCATAGAATGAATAACCATAGGATAGAGGTGAGTGTCAGTGGTGGTGAAGGCACCAAGAATGGGCACCTTGATGCCCATCGAGTATGGGACTTAGAAGGTTATGGAGAAGAAGATTTAGCACCATAAGGTTATGTAAAAAAGTCCATTAAGCATTAATTGTTATGATGTCTACGGCCTACTTTGTAGCAATGGAAACAAGTATCTGCACACAGGAAACCTTGCAGTATCTGCACATAGGAGGCTAAGAACCAAAACAAAAATGTGTTCCTACATAAACAGAAGCAAAATTTTACAGTTAATGCTTGACATATATAGTCATGTCTCCTCTTAAATGTGTTTTTTTATAGTTGTTTTCAAGGTAAGGAGGGGATGAAAAGAAACATAAATCAGTTCATACTCATTAGAGAGCACCATTAAGAACTACATGAGATAGTCCTAATCATAGTGTTAGAGAATGACTTGGATATTATCCTTCAGCAAAACTAGATCAAGTTGAGATCAAGGGGATGAATTCTAACAAAAAAAATTGCTAATAGTTTGTCCGAGAACCTGATGAAGAAGTGTGTGACATTGTTGCTATCGATGTGATAGTCTGGGAGTAGAGAACCGAGTGGCAAGAAAGACAAGTTCTATTGTGTCATACATACCAAACTGAGTATGAATAGTAAGAATGTAAGCATTGTAAATTCATATAATAATTGTGATTCTTTGCAACCCATTAACTCTTATATTTGAGCTCTTATATTTGAGAAGTGCCTCATCAAATTCATGTAAAAGAGTGGAAGAGAATTCATATATCTATATTCTCTTTGGGTTGGCACAAGCAAACATGAGGCCTGTATAAAGGATGGAGATCAGAAATAAGAAGGTAAAAATAGAAAAACATCTCCTAATAATGAATATCACTTAATAATGAAAGTAACGTTGCATACTTAGAAAATTTGTATTTAAGATAATAATTCTATTAAACCAAATTTTTTCAATTAGTAAATTTCATTGTTGATAACAAGTTAATGGACGTAAATAATATACCATGACAAAAAATTTTCAAGTTGGGAAACTTAAAATTAAGGGTATTTAGATCATCAAATAAATATATAATTGACTATCTCTTATAAAAGGGTGAGTATTAACAAAATTTATGCTAAAATGGTAATAATCTCATGTTTAGATTTATTTAAAAGTGTAATTATGTAAGAAATATATTTAAAAAAAGTTGAAATAGTAACGAGCACCACCCTATTTACAAATCATAACTTAGCTCACCTGTGCTAGAGGATTTGCTTGCGGGCCTCTTGACTGAAATCCTGAGAACAAAGATGGACCTGAGTCAAACTTGTAACCCTTAATTTCAAATGAATGTGCAGCACCACCAGGTACATCATGACTTTCTAACACAATGACATCTTGATTGTATTTCGCTAGAAGTCCAGCACAGCATAGCCCACCAATACCGCTTCCAATTACAACAACATCTGCTTCTAACTTCCCTGGACAGTACAACATGGTTAGACAAACAGTAGTGTGTCAAAGGGCAACAAAAACAAAAAATTTGTCGAATCATCTTCAAAATCCTATATTTGTTGGATCGATATATTATCTTCTATCGAAAGGTGTAGCAATATCGTCTCTCCAAAGATGGTGTGCATTAGAACATCAACATGAATAAGAGTTCTCGACTTTTAGGTTTTCTTTTTCTGAGAGTATGAAATTTATCCCAAGTTTTTATTAGGAGAGCCCAATACCAAATACATATATAAGAGATTAAGAGGGCAAAAGGCTATTGATACAAATAATGTAAGCATATGACAAATTACAAGTATTAATCTATGTTGGAAATCAAGAAATTCATCAAAATTGCATCCAATAAGATTTGTGTCTAAAACCTCTAGGTAGAGATGCCAATATAGGCTCGACACAAAATTTCAACTCACACCCAACATGGCAAATTTAGGTTTGGGTTAAACCATTTAATATTTGGGATGGGTTCGGGTCAACAACATAAAAGAATCAGTCAAAAAAGGATTGTGTTCCGGTCAGTTTTGGGTCAACCCAAACATAATAATTTTTTTTTTTTAAATTAAAAAAATCTCATATTATTTTATTAGTTATTTTTACTACATCGTCGTGCTCAAAGTGAGTAATTGCGTCTATTTAGGGTCAGGTTGACACTAACCCATCACAATTTATATATTCTTTATGGTGTGTCAAGTCAAGTTCGGGTTTGGTAGGTTCAAGTTTGGGTTAATAATTTTAACTTGTTTAATAAATGTGCTAAATTCAAATCAACCATATTCATGTCTAGCCATTTTTTACACAAACCCAAGCTCAACCCATATTCCAAAATTGACACCCCTACATCAAGGAATGAAACTAAGGAGTTTAACACTCAAGTCAGGGCCCTTTGACATGGTTGTCAATTTTAACAGAGTGACAGCTTGATAGGTGAAGAAGATTGGTGTCAAAATATCATTAAGCTCTTTATTTAACAAGAAAAGTTTGATGGAAGTTAAAAAGCATTTTCACAAAAAAAAAAAAAGTCAAGAACTCAGAGACGGAAAAAGGAACATTGTTGACATTCATCCTCATGGAATGAGAGATGAGATGCAACAACTGGGAGAAAACTATAATGATTTTTTTCCAATAGCTCAAAGGATTCTTCGTAAGCACTAAATAAAATCACAGCGATCAATCAATATCCACTTCTTATAATAGATGGCTTATTGGTTCTACTTAAGTATGTCATAGTCTTCATAAAGCTGAACCTAAATTTGAAATACCAACAATTTTGAGTACAGGTAAATAGTTTATAGAATTCCATGTTTAAAACTAACTGATGATTATTTGAGCGGATGATGGTGTCATTCAAACTCTACAATATGTCGACAAGTTTTATATATCTGATGAAAAATATCATGAAACATTTGGAGGACTTTCTAATCGTCTACTTTGACGGCAACCCATTTATAGTCACACATCAGAAGAATATTTTAGTCACATGGAAAAAGTGTCCAACCTCCAAAAAAATAATCAGCTCTTCTAGAATCCAAAGTGCAATTTGGAAAATAATATCTTCTTTATTTGGGAGTCAAAGTTGGTAGGGGAGATTAAGATAGACCTTGAGAAGATTAAATAATCAGATTGCCTCAGCCATGGAACGTGGGTGTGAGCTTTATGGGATTATGTAGTATATAAGAAGATGCATCAATAACTTCTCTACACTCATTGCACCATTGCATTCGTTGATGAAGGAAAAATAAAAAATTCTCCTTGTAGAAGAAACATGAGAACACATTTCTTATTCTCAAGGGGAGGATAAATGAGGAGCCAGATCTAACCTCATTGAATCAACAAAAGTCATTTGAAGATGAGGCAAATGCTTCAAGATATGTCCTCAACATGATTTTGACGTAAGAAGGGAGACTTGTAGCACACTAATCTGAGATGTTATAATATGCTCACAATAATTCTCCAATGATGATAAGAAACTTCTCACAATTCACCAAGCAGCATTGTGACCGTATCTACTCAAGAAAAAATTTTGTGATTCAGATAGAACATAAGCTGCTTCAATACCTCTAGATATAACCAAAGCTTCAACAAGCACAGCATATGATGTGGATGGCGTATTTGTAGCAATTCAACTTGTTCGTCGAGCATAAAAGGGGAATGCAAAACAAGGTGGTTTGTATGCTCTCTCAAACACGAGTGACCTTATCAGTGATGTTGCAACTACAACCTTCTTGACAAAAATAGTAGGTTGATCTATACAAGCCTGGCGAAAACTTTATGGATGTTTTGAAAGGTTTTCGAGAAAATGGATACATCAAATAGTTCTCTGCAAAGACAACCAACTTTGTATCCCAAAAGATGGTGATCAGTTGAAGTGGATAAGAGAAGCGCACACTTCCAATGAGGTCAAATATTTTAAGCACGAGTGACTTTATCAGTGATGTTAAAGATGCTTTACAATCTACAAAGATACATGTATTGGCCAAGAATATTACTTGATGTAGCCACATGTATGAAATGATGTATAATCTATTAAACATCAAGGCCATCAAACAATAAGCAAGGATTATATATTCCACTACCTATGACGACTTGACTATGGGAGAGTATTTCCATGAATTTCCTATAAGGACTTGCAACAATTCAAAATGGTCATAATTATATTTTTGTTATGATGGACATATCATCAAAAATGATAGTGCTTATAGCTTGCAAGAAAAGCATAGCAAGCGAAGAAGCAACACGTCACGTTTTTAGAAATGTTTGGGTAAATTTCATATTGCCAAGCTCAATCATCTCGTATAGAGATTCTCACTTTCTCAATAACTTTTGGAGACTATTGTGGGTCACGAGGAATACTACTCTAAAAATGGAGCATAATCTTTCATCCTCAAAGTGTTTAGACATATTGAGGCTGACAACAAGATTGTTATAAACAAGGGCATGTTTATGTTTGGATCTTAAGTAAACATGCTTGTTAAAACAAGTTGAAGTCAAGCTAATTGTCAAGTCAAACACGAATAATAACCATTGTTCAAGGCCATGCCCATTAGTTCAATGAGGCACAAGCGCTCCCTCTAGCTTAAGAAATCTTGTTGTATGAACTAACCGTTGGGAAAGGGGAAATGACCTATAGTTTTCAATTATTGGTGCTTAAGATAGTTTTGAGCCCATGTGTTACATTTGCATAACTCTATTGCTTAGACAATATGTTTTTTAAATGCAATACATATAGTCAGGAGCCCCCTACGCTAGTTTGCTTGAAGAAAGGTCTCAAAATAATGAATTTAAAAGTTCAAGTCCCATTGCCCCTTTCCATACATATTAAGTACATAAATTCATAAGATTTACATATCCTACTCTTCTAAGCTTGGTTGAATATTTGTTTCAAACTTAGACAAGTTATTTAATGAAGCAATCCGAGAAACGATAGTCATTTTGTCTAGGGATGGCAATGGGTAAGGTACCCGCCCAATAATCCCTATCCAAACCAATATGTAATTAATAATCGAATAATTCAATCTATATTCAGATTAAATTAGATGGTTAAAGGAATGTTTGATGTCCATCGGATACACAATACCTAAGAATACAATTGATAATTTAAGTCATAAACCATAAAATGTTTAGACTCATATATTCTCATTAACAAGGAAATAATATCTTTTAAATTTTAAAAATACTACCAATGATGTCTAATAAATTAAAAAAAAAGGAAAAAAAAAATTGCCATCCAATCTAATTTAGGATTTCAGATTTTTCACTCTCAGATTCATCTAACATTTTATGCGCATATGCTGTAATTTATTCTATACTCAATAGATTTTACATATATGTAAACAATACAAAATAATTATATATTTATACATAAATGAAATATTAAATCAGGTTCGCATACCGTTTATCAGTGTATCTGTGAGGTTAATAATAGAAATGCTATCTAGTTCGGTGCCCTGTCATTAAAGCAAAAACTCCATCCCTTAGTTTTGTAGAAATAGATCAAGAACACTCTAATAACAGAAATGCTATAATGATGATTCAAGAACGAAAGGCATAGCGAGAGGGATTTGAGTAGTTAATCGACATAAAACCTGGAAACTGATTCTTGTCCCTGAAATTGGGGAGAGGGTTTCTTAAAGGCTCCTTGACGCTGGTGCACCGCGGTAATCCCGGCGTCTTTCCACGCCTGAAGTTGATATTGAAAGGCAAGCGCGCGAAGTGCAGGGAAGCCATGGTACCTTAGAAGCCTCAATGGGCAACCAATATAGAGAAAACGGTTCCTGCTTGCATTTGAGCGGGGAGAGTAAGCAAAGAAAGGAGGAACAAAAACCAACAGAGCGCGCGAGACATTGAGAGCGGAGATAAAAAATTATGTGGAATTAGCTCGACCTCATTTGGTCCGTGGATGTCGATTTTTTTTTTTTTAAGTGGGAGCCACACAAAAATAATAAAAAAACAATATTTAGACACAACATCTCAATATTATTAAAAAAAATGATTTTTTTTTTTTTTTTTTTTTTTAAAAATTTTTTTTTTTTTTTTTTTTTTTGAAATATCAGTGATATGTATCACCCGTTACAAATGAATAATAAAGAAAATAAGATCAATGAAGAGAATAAATGTGGTTAAGAAGTTTCATAAATTCTAGGAAATAAAAATTATGGATTAGGTAGAAAATTATAAAAATATATGTGATAAAATAATAATAAGATTTCGATCACATGTTTTTACTATATGATGATGTTGATGCACTTATGAAATATAAATGCATTATTATCATTTAAAATTGGTAATTGTGAACTTATCTTAATTTTATGCATAGCATTTTGTTTTTAAAGTGCATATTGTAAAATATTTAAGTCTTTTATTATTGGAGTAAGACATTTCTAAGAAAAACATTATGGTTAACCAAGGAAAATGATGTTCTGGTTAACTATGAGGTTAATTTTATTCCATTTTGCTAGATCCAATATAGTCTGTAAGATATTGATAGAACCCAATCTATTGAGATGGAAATGAGGGTAATCCAATGGATATTTTAGATGGATTGGATTATAAATGATTTGATGGACTTTTATTTCATTGTATAAAAATAACTTGGCACGATTGGCCTTATATGGTACTCTCACATACAAGCATATATATGTGTGTATAGCAAGCATCTACATCGTTATAATGAATTATGTTACTGCATTAGCCCCTTAAAATTACAATGAATAGAAATTCCTAATATGTCATTATGATTCAACAAATTTAATGTGGGAGTTGGGGGAAGACCTATAAGGACGTGCGACATGTAAATAAGTACATGGCATCTAACTAGGTACAAATTTTATATGGGTGAACAACTTAAACAATGGGACTCATTAGTATAGGGTTAGTAGGTCACTCAATAGATAGGTCCAATCAATGTGACATAGTAAGGCATACCCCTATAGATTGCTCAGCAAAATTGTCAAATTTGATTTAACAAGTGACATGATGATCTAAAAAAAAAAAGTTACATGATGATCTCAATTTGACAATTGAAGGTTTGACATCTCTAACACCATCAAATTTGCATGTGGATGTGGCATCATGCTAGGTTGGAGTTGATAAATGTGTCTGAGCACATACTACGTACGACCAGTAGATGTGAATGCCAATAGAGACACTCATAAGTGGGCATCATTACAACTACTTGATAAGCTAGCATAGCAAGGAGATGTAAGAGAGGTAGTCATTCCTTATCAAAATTAAGTATGTCTTATTATGAAAGGTGACGCATCCTGGTGAAAGGACATGGAGACATTGGCTCTATAAGATGATAGGTTAGCCTATAAGTGAATAATGATTTATCATAGGTAATGATTCGTAAACTTGTTGGGTTCTTCTATAATAGTTCATGTTTTGACACAATCAAATAATATTTTAGGAGTCATTTTAAATCTAATTTACAATTTGTCTTATTGAGCTCATATATATTGATGTGCTATAATTATAATAATTTATTTTCTGATTTAATGGGCAGTGTAAATATGAAAATAAAAATATTGCAATTCCTTAAAAATTTGAACATATAAGTATAAGTGAGTTTTATGGGACCGTTGGTGTCCATTTTAAAAATCGATCTCACCATATTATTTTAGACATGCAAGGCTATTTTATGAATATTTTTTTTTTAAAATAATTTTTAGTTGCTTATACTATATTAATTTATGTTTATGAATTCATAGAAACTATGATTGATTAATTAAGATATTAAAATGGGCAATTCTTCCCAAAATATATTTTAGGGTTTTACATCTTCAATATGGTCAATGATATGGAAGACAACTATCAACAAGAATGATGGTGAAGATGTTTACAAACCAATCATATAAGCCCTCATAACCATATAAGTGGGCATGAATTCATGTTTCTAATGGTTAAGAAATGCTACATGTAAGAAACTTAATAACTAAGGGAATGTTGATCATTATGTTGACTATCTAAGTAATGAAGATTAAAGAAAGGTAATTGAATGGACTCATGGAGGCCTTACAATTATACGAAAAAATTGATAGAATAAACAACAATAAGAGCTATCTAAAATAATTTTTAGTGGATAATGTGATGCACCAAAATTAAATTTGAAAAAAATTATTCATTTATCTTTTAATAAACAACAACCAGAGCTATCTAATATCATATATCAGTAATAAACATTAAAGTAAATTCTATAATTTTAAACATTAATGTTCATATGTTATTTAGGCATCCTATATCACGTGCTTAGTGTATCACATACTTAGTATAAGTACATTGAATCAATATTATCAAATAGTATCGGTTTCCAAATCGATAATAATAATAATATAGTGGCAAAAGTAGTAGAATAATACAATAACAGTAAATATGTGCAGTACTAATAAATCCATATAATAATAAGAATAATGACTCAATATATATTTTAGTAGTCACACTAAACAAGTAAAAAGTCATGGCTATCACAATATCTTTGAGTCTTAATATTAATATTAGTAAATCGTTGGCTCAATAAATAGAGTAATCACTCTTTCCCTATCAGCACAGTAATAATCTCCTTATGACTCCCAATCAGTGTATCATGTGAACTTAGTAAAGGACAACACAAAACTATTTTATTTAAAGGAAAGCATGTCGGCCCACCATCCTATACATGTTAATCAGTCTCAAACCAATGGGTCAACTAGTCTTTACAAGTCTTTTACACACACATTATTATCGCAATATTATAATAACAATAACGACCAACTTTTACTCAAACACTTAAGCATATATCCACATTCATTTTTAATGCATTGTAGCTAATAAAATATAATTGATCTTAATTCAGAAAGTGTCAATATGTCTTAACGGTAGACAAAAAAAAACCTATTAATAAGCAAAAAATTACATTTTTAGGAAATTATCAGATTACTAGGGATTGTGTAAATGATATTTTAAGACTTTTATTATACTACAATTATTTTTAGAAGTCAAAATAAATTTTTGGATAGATAAAAATTATTGTACTTTCAAAATCACCTAGTAAAAATCTCAAATAAATACTAAAAAAATTCATAATCTTGATATCTATAATATCTAAAAAGTTACACATTGAACATTTTACCAATATAAAATTATTCACATTTTTCGATAATAAAATCATAAATTTGATAAAAAAAATTATAAATAATACAAAATATTTAAAATCAAAATTAGGGTAATGAAAGTTTTTTAAAGTGAGATGAGCAAATATCCCAACTGTCCTTGCTAACGAAAATTGCTCCGCAGCCTCCAAATCTAAACTTCTCTTTTCTCTCTTCTCACTTTTCTCTCTAAATCTCTTAAATCAACTCTCGGTTGTCGAAAATGAAAAGGAAAATTGTTTTAAAACCTTTTAATGACTTAATATATTTTATTAAATAATAATTTAATTAATTTTTAGTATATACTCAAATAAACTATTTTAGGACTTTAAAAATTACAAAAAAACTATCTAGCTATAAAATAAATCATTTTATTTTAAAAATATGGTTAAATCGGTTTGTAAAATGGATACCTAACGATCCTAAAATCTTCACTTATACCGATAGATACCAATTTCTTAATGATATTCATCGGCGTCAAAAAATTATGAAAAAACCCGTCAAATTAAAATACTATAATAACAATGCTACGACGAAAATGAGTTGAGATTTGGAGTTATAATGACTCCAGAAAAAATTTGTCAAAATCAAAATACGGGCTATTATAGGTAGCGTCATAATGCCATCACACAACATCGCAACACTATATATATACGTTGAATCCAAAATCACTATAGAACAAAGATGTCAACTTCACAACAACCATTTTAGGCGCCACTGTGCTCCAAAACCCAGCACCTTGTAGTGCTCAAAGGCACAACATCGCTGCACTACAGTTCAAGTAGGAATTCAGATTATTTTTTAGCACTTTTCGTATTTGCAGGTTATTACAAGAGGTCCCTCTCTTGCTATTGCTCTTTGCCCGTTATTTAGCCATAAAACAATTTGTTTATTATTTACCATATTAATACTAATAACTAATATAATACAAATTATTATTATTATTAGGTATAAGCATTATAATTAATATAATTAACAACCATTTAAAAATAATATATTAATTGTTAAAAATTCATAATTTTAATAATTAATAAAAAAACTAAAGTATAATTTTCTAATTATTTATTTTAATAAATAATTTTTACATCTATACTACTATTATAAAAGTCATTTGAGTTTTACTCCCAAACAAAATCTTAGCTTTTCATTTTTATTATTGAAATAGAATAATGGCCTTTGATTTTATTTCTTTATCATTATTAATTGATAATTTTAAAAATAATTAATATATTATTATTTTTCATATGAGCAAAATTTTCATTTACACAAATAAATAAATAAATCATTTAAATTCTTTAATGTTTCTTAGAGTTCCTTTAATTAAATATCCCTTTGTATTCCACTCTTCGTATCTCATAAATAAATGAAGAAATCATTTAAATCCTCTAATACTTCTTAGTATTCCTTCATATTAATTAAATACACATTTATACTATTCTTCCTAAATTAAATCTCAACCGTACAAATAAAAATGACAAAATATTGTCCGTGCATTCCATTGCAACCCTTGAGATTTCTACTTCCAGCCTTCCTATTCTCTCATATTGATATAATTCATGCACTCAAAATTATTGTAAACTTCTTCCTCTCACTTATGAAGTTCATTGTGAGAGACGAATCCAACAGCTCACTCCCAACAATTGCTCTCCATCAGCCTTCATGTTACAATTATCTATCCCTCACTCTACCGTCTCATATCTCCTCCCATAAACTCTCCACACATCATTATCGTTGTTGCTTCAGTCATTTCCTAATGTTGGATTATTATTTAACATAAAAGTTTAGATCCTTTCGTAATGTCGGATTATGTAACTGGCATATTTCTGCTCTTTCTCCTATTCTTTTTTATCAAAATTTTCTGTTTTCTGATATGATTTCTTTCTGAAATTGTTAATAGTTGCTTCTCCTGTTGTTTCCTCTTTTCACCCTTACAGAGGTTAGCAAGTAATCATGATTTCATCAAGACAATATTTCATTTCTTCTATTACTGATTTCATTTAAAAAAATTTCTAACAACTCACAAAAAAATATTTTTCTCTGCTTTTGATCTTCACATAGGAATCGAGATTATGACTTATGTGCTAGAGGTAATGCAAATTTCTTCTATTGAGAGGACTGAACAAATGCTAATTTTATTTTATTGAGGTTTATCTCAAAAGGAAGATAATGCTCTTTTTCTAACATTTGCTTAAATTCAAGGAGACATCACCCCTGTATATTTTGATGGCCGTAAGGGCATAATCAAGTTTGGATATGTTCATGTTTGTTCTATAACCATTAGAAAAAACTAGAGTAATAAAATATAATAATAATAATGATAAAGCTCTCAATTTACATCCCAACTATATGTGAGATTATTGATTCATTTTCTCTATTTTTCAATATTTCCTCTTTAGTGAATAACTGTAGAAAGAGGAATCGTTCATGCTAGAAAGCCAATCGACAACAACGCCAACGAAAATTTATAACTTATGAAAATTTTTATATATCTCACATCTAAATTTTGATATTTATTTATACAATATTTTAATTTTAAAACTATTCTTAAGTCTAACTTTTAGATATTCCTCTTGATATAAAATAAATAAATGTGATAGAACTATCACTCAATCTCAGAATTATTGTTATTAATTATTTAATTATAAATATTTATTATTTGGCTAATACAATTTTATAGCTCTTAATTTATATGAATTAATAATATGGTTTTGAAAAATAATAATACTTCTCTCATAAGAGATAAAAAAAAAGATAATATAAAATAAATAATTTCAATTAAAATAATAAGAAGGTAATCAAATAAAAATATAACATCCATATATGAGTGAAAAAACCCGCCGCACTAAAGAGGCTACTGTGCGATTGCGCTCTCTTTCGAGAGTAGCAAGTGATTCATTCTTTATAAAGATCCAAATAGTGCGGGAGCGAAAATAGAAAAGGGGGGAAGGAGTAAGCGAGAGATGCGGGAAAAGCGAGACGGCTCTGCTCAGGCTCCATTGCCGAGAAATCTCAGTTCTCCGTCGTGGGAGGCGGCGGCGGACAACATTGCCTACGACTCCACCTCGTTCCCTCCTCCGATTACCTTTATTTGTGGTCCTGCTAACTGCGGCAAGTCCAGCTTCTCACGCCTTCTCCTAAACACTCTTTTGAAGAGGTCCGTCAAGATTCTTCTTTGTTCTCCACAATCCTCCTTGATCTTTGTACCTGCATTTCATTTGGACATTTTGAAATGAATGCATGTAGGTATAAGAGAGTCGCTTATTTGGATACCGACGTCGGCCAGCCGGAGTTCGGCACTACGGGCTGCGTCTCTCTTCACATTATCGATAAGCAGACTCCTGGCATGTTTCCATAACACCCCATCCATTTCAATCATTTCGCCGCTCTTCCTTTAAATATTTTTTTTATTGGTTCTAATGATCTTTACTTGTTCGCAGACTTGACGATTTTATACTTAAAAAAGCCTGAGAGGTGTGCAATCCACGCATTTCCAACATTTTTTTATTCTAGTTGGTGTTATTTTCTTCTTTATTCACTTCTGTTGGTGCTGTTTGGTTGCAAGAATTAGCCAAGATTTAGCAAGTACTTGAGCTAAATCTTGAAAAACAATTGTTTAAGCCTTCATAAATACTACTGCCTTCTTAAACCCGTTATAGTCCCGTTTTATCAGATTTAACAAATACCGGGGAGATAGGATTTAAGAGATTTACGTGACTTGTCCTCAATGTGCTCGTTCCTCCCTTGCACATAAATTCTGAATCTTGAAAATGGCCACCAAACAATTTTTTAGGATTTAACTAGATTTGATAACCATCATGCCAAATATTTTTCAATATTTAATGAATCCAAGATTTACTTTTTTTTTTTGGGGAAAACTATCCAAGATTTACTAAATATGAATTTACAATATTTATTAAATCTTACCTGAGTTAAATACTACTTATTTCCAGACATCCCATTGTGTTAAAATGTCTGCCAGTGTACTTGGCATTTAAATTTCAAATATTCTGCAAAAATTAAAAGAAAAAAAAAATTAACCAAGCGGATAACTATGAAAATCTTGTTGGAGATACAAGATGGAGAGGATATTTAGGATAGAAGATGTTTTGGTGTTGATCTCAACTTTAGCTTGATACAAAATAGTACGAGGGAAGCCTAGAGAATTATAGTCTTCTACATTTCTACTTAGTGCAAGAAAAATATAGAGACATCAATCAATAATTTTTTTTTTTCGGTACTTTCTCTTAAACTTGATTTATGATGCCCAATAACTTGTTAGATTTTTTTTTTTTCTTGAGTGGTTTAGTAATGATGTCCATGATTTGACCTTGAGACATCATGTACTTTTACTTCCTTTCTTATGATCCCCTTATCTTATATAGTGATAATGAGTATTGATTCCCTTGCTTCTATTATGAACGATGAGATTCTTTGCCAATATAAGTGTAGATTTATTGTCAATATTTATCTTGGTTTGCTCTTCTTGTGGCAGATGCAATTCTTTCAACAAATTCTTTACTAAATACCATGAAAAATACATGAAGTTGCAATGACATGTTCAACTTCACCAGTTGATAGTGTAACGATGGTTCCATCTTTGATATCCAAGTGAAAGCAATATCTCTCATATAAAGAGCACAACTTAGGTGGCGCTTTCTCTATAATCCAAAAATTTGCTCAAATCACTATCACAATATGCAACAATCTCATATATACTAGAAATGGAGTAAAGAAGGCCTTATTTGGCTGTCCCTTTATTTTACCAAAGTATTCTTTTTATGATCTTGAAATGAGTTATTATTAGAACTTTCATATGGTAACTGACTATTCCAACGACATACAAAATATCTAGCCTTGTTCAAATTAAGTTGCGCAAACTTCTGACAAGGCTTTTGTAGAGAGTTGTGTCAACCTTTTCTCCATCATTTTTGAACAATTTGATTCCACATTCCATTGGTGTGCCAGTAGGATTAGAGTCATTCATCTTGAACTTTTTGTGGATCTCTTTAGCATGACCTTTCTGAGTTACAAGGATGCCTTTGTTGTTTTGCTTCACTTCAATGTTGAGGTGTTAAGACATGGGTCCAATGTATGTTATCTCAAATATTTGGCCATTTCTTTCTTGAACTTCTCAAACATAATTAGATTGTTAAATGCAAAAATCAAGCTGTTTACATACAAACACAATCAAAATGTCTATTTTAAACTGCTATGGAACGTGCATTTTCATGTGGACACATAACAAAAGTCTTTTTTTGGAAGTACTTGTTGATTCAAGTATTCTAAACTATTGATGCTTGATTTATACCATATAAGGCATATATTTAATTTCAATACTTTCTCTTATTGCTATTTCATTTCATAACTTAAAGGTTGCTCTAGGCAGACAATTCTTCAAAAACTATATATTAAAGGTAGATTTCCCAACTTTTTTTTGAATCTTCCGGCAATTTTGGGCTAGCTAAGAAATGATTAGTTTAATGGTTCCAAGACAAGCCCAATGAGTAAATACCGTATCATACTTAATGCTGACTTTTTGACTATATCCTTCAGCTAAAAACCTTGCTTTATATTGTTCCATGTCTCAGTCAACATCTTCATTGCTTTGTACGACCATTTGACCTCAATCACTACAATCATTGTGGATGTATAGCAAGTTCCCATGTATCATTCTTTGTGATTGTATCGATTTATACATCTGTGGCACTTACTAACTTCTTACTTTTCGTCACTTATTGATGGCTTAACAGCTCATTATCATTAAAGAAACAAAAAAGAGCAATGTCATATTGATTCTTGGTTATTTTATATTTGTCTTGCATGCTTCTAAAATATGGCCTATTCTCATTTGAGATTGCACTTGAAAGTGTTGTTAATATCGAGCCTTTACATGTGTTTGCGATTAGTGATATTGGTGGGGTGATGGGCTCTTGTGATTCTTCTCTTTTCTCCTTTGATTGTTGGCTTTCTTCTTGGTCAATGTAAGGAAGAAAATTGTGCTCATTTTGTTGTGTGTTCCACTCCCAAAAATCTTTTTCATCGAACTCCATTTCATAACTAATTAGAGCCTTGTTGTTAATTGAACTATTGGCTTATAGAGTTTGGAACTTGAGTCATGGCTATTGAATACATGCTTTTTCATTTTTTTTTGTCGAGATTTGTCCTTATCTAATATGTAATGTGAACATAAACAATAATTCCAAAGACAAAGATGTGAAATTCCTAACTTCCTTCCACTCCAGCTTATTGTGGGGTCATTCCATGCATAGTTTTTGTTAGGGAGCGAATTGTCAAGTTAATTTCATAAGTGACTATTTTGGTCCAAAACTCTAGGCTTTTTTATTTTTATTTTGTGTGTGGTTTAGATCATGTTAAGAATGGATACACTCTTCCTCTTCGCCACTATATTTTATTAGGGGATGATGAATTTCATGCTCTTCACAATATCTTTGAAACTCATTTGATGTGAACCCACCTCATTGATCTGAGCTTATGGACTTGATGCCAAGTCCATTTTATTTCTAAATGAGAGCTTTAAACTTATTGAAAATTTCAAATACCTTAAACTTCTTCAAAAATTACACCTATATTTTCCCAAAAAAATCATCACTAAGGAGGAGAAAATATTTACTCTCAGCAAAAGGCATCGGTCTAAAGAGGTCATAAATATTGGTGTGCATGGCTCAAGTTTTGCTACTCTTGAAGTTGTTTCCTTTAAAAAGTTTTATTGGGATTGTGTCTTTCATAAATATCCTTCATGTATTTGATCGAGTTGCTGATGCATGGTAGATCTCTCACCATCTCCTTCCACGAAAGCTTTAGGACACCAAAGTTTAGGTGTCCATATTATAATTGCCAAGCCATGACGAGTTGCTATAAAAAGCATTTAAACCCCTCGCAAATCACATTCAATATTCAAGAGAAGCATTATGTAATTTGATATAGGCACCTTGTTAATTAAATTGTTGTTACGATCTTTTAAGAAAGGTTTCTTTTTTTCTTTCAGGTGAATATCATATTATTATTTAACAACTAACCCGAACTCCAAATATTATTCTTCATGAGACATTTCCAGTCATAGTTATAAAAATTTACCTATCCCTAATATTGATATATTTTTTTTCATCTTCAAATGAGACATTTCCATTTACTGTTTCATTGAGCTCTGCAAAAACATTCTTTTTTTCCACACATGTGGTTGCTTATATCGGTATTGAGATACCATATTACCATATATTTACTTGGCCTCCATATTTATCCTTATATGCTAGCAACAATGTACCTTTGCTCTTATCTACTACTAAGTTGTTATCCTCTAATTTTTTTGAACATCTATAATCAGAAATGTAATGTCCGACCTTATGACAATTATAGCATTTGGTATGAGCTTTGTCATGCCTCGACTATTAGTTTCCTTTTCCACGACCTCTTATTGCTTGCGGATTTTCATTCTTATTTTTATTGTTGAAGTTACGGGAGTTGTTGACTTGTTGCAACCACCTCTCCCTTCTTTTTCTTGTCCAAGACCACATCCTTGGCTGCATCTTTTTTGTTTTTGACATTTATCATTATTTTAGTTTTCTTCTTTCAAATTGCATTGTCGTAGTTTCTCCATTATCCTTTTTTTGTTTATTCTTCTTTTTTTGCTTTTCCTTGCTTGCAAGGGTCTTATTATTTGTCCACAATCATGATTTCTAAATCCTTAGTTCCTTCAATGGTGATATCAATGAAGTCAATACTTGGTTTTAAAATACAAATATTTTTTTCTATAAATTTGACCTCACTAATATTATCACTATTTCTTTTCAATTGATAGAGAATGACTAACGGTTCAAAAATATGATAATTGATTTGGATTTCTGCATTAAAAAAGTTCAAACTCACTTCTGTGAGCTTGAATTCGAATCATTTTTTACTTGCTTGACTCTCTTGTTATAAGTCCGAAGCTTCTCCTAGAATTTCTTTGCCCATAGTTTCACTTAAGATCTTCTCGAACCTATGATCTTTCATCATTTGAAAGATGAGATAGATATTTTTCTCGCTCCTCTTTCTTGAATCTTTGAGGCTTCCCTCTGGACTTGTTGAAGAGCAACGTTGTCTTGCTCTTCATAGCCTTCCTCAACAACATCCACACTTCTTATGCTCCAGGTAGAGCTTTCATCTAGATGAGCCAATTGTTACAGTTGCTTTTGGTGAGCATCAAAACTTAGAAAGAAACCAATTCACTATTCGCCATAGTTCTCGCCTCGCTTTATTGGAGAAAAAAGGAGTGTTATGTAGGATGGAAGCGGCTTTTTTTATTGATCTTAACTTTGGATTCATACATAATGGCAGAGCATCTCTATTCTTAGGACGCCATAACAAGTTATAGATACAACAATGAACGAGAATTTTCTTCTAAAATTTCTACAGGACAATTCTAGAATTCTACTCGTGCAAGAGTATTGTAGACTTATGTCAAATACAAGAAAAATCTAGAGGCTACAATAAATCAAGTTTTTTTTCCGACCCATCTGAACTTAAATCTATCTTTTTTGGTTTGGTAAATTGTGCCTGCGATCTATTATTTTTCCTTACTTTAATGCAGGTGCGTTTTCTTTGGCCATGATTCTGCTAAGAAAGAAGCTAAAACTTATTTTTCCAGCATTATTTTTTTATATGATTACTTTTGCCGAGAGTTCTACCAGAAGGATGAGATTGATAATCCTTGCAAAATATTGTTGCCACTTATCATCAACACATCTGGATGGGTGAAAGGTATGCTTTTTCCCATTTTTCACTACTCTTTTGTCTATGTTAGTCATTATGGAAACATTATACTCGAAGTTATCATAGAAAAATAATGCTGATTTCCTTTTGCGATAGGTACTGGGTATGATGTGCTAGTGGCAATGTTGCAGCATACTTCTCCCACTCATGTCGTCAAAGTGTGCGTCTCCTCAGAAAACAAAAACTTGCCAAATGGGATGTTCTGGTTGGAAAACCCGCAAAGAAAGTCAGTAAATTTGATTCAGATTTGTGCTGGAAATGAGACTTCACATCGACCGTGAGTTTTATCTGCATTTGATTTCAATCTTCATCAAAGAAAATAAGTTATATTGCCAGAATGTATATGTTTTATTTTTAAGTTTGAAGGATGGAATGGAGTAATGATTTGTTTGCCTCATTTATAACCATTAGGTCACTATCGACAAAATGTAAAATCTTTACTAGAGTGATGCTGCAACTCAGGAATAGTCCTGAGTAACGAAGAATCACCCTATTCTACAGTTCCGAGGACGCCCTTGTTGATATTTCGGGTGTTAGGGCGGTCAATAATGCCTTGAACCACATCCCATTTTCCTTACTAAGTTTTACTTCAGTTAGGATTAACTTAGAATAGCTCAAACCTGACCAAACGGGTTAAGCCTAATCAAGCAGGAAAAACTGGAAGGAAATTGTCTTTAAAAGACTCAATCCACACTAAAAAGCAGTCCTATATGCCAATTGCGGAAGGTCTTATGCACGGTCTTCTGGAGGACTACACCAAAAGCACATCCATTGATTACATTTCTTGAGATATTTATAAGCTTAATTCAAGGTTATATCTTTTATAGAAGAGTGGATTCCACTTAATCTTTTTCAATGTAAACTAGGGTTTCATTATCCCATCACAAGACTCATTAAATTTAGGACACTTATATTACTTTAAAAACCTGTAACCACCTTGATCAAGCTAGATTCTGTCTGGTTGATTGAGACACTTTTTATTGATTGAATAGAGAAAAAGTAAGGGTGTAAACGAGCCAAACATGAACAAGCAACCTATTTAATTTACTGTCTAGTCAATCATGAACGAGTTAATTTTGCTAACATGCAAAAGAATAATGATTGGATGTGAAGGTTTAAAAGTTTATGAAAATGAGAAGTAATATTTATATAGATACATGTAAGATATGTTGTATGCAATGATAACAATAAGGATGAAAATGAGAAAAGGAAAGAAAAGAAAAGAGAATAAAGGAAAATGTATTGAAAACGACAGGAGTTCACCCCCTTATGGTACTGGCTGGGGACGTCATACTCGTGCACGAAAAAAAAGGAAAAGGAAAATGTTATGGAAATGGAAAAGGTAATCAAATGGAAAAGGTTGTACTTTTGGGTACTTTGAGACGGTGCTCCTGTGCAAATCAAATGGGAAAAAGAAATATAAATGAAATATTAAAGATAACAAATGTTTTAAATTGTTTTAAATGAAAATATCCGAAGAAGTATAAATCAATGAAATGAAAGAAATAAGGTTAAGAAAGGATAGAATATATATTAATACAAGTTGAATAGAAATACTAGGCCAAATCAATGACCATTAATACCGTCTGATAATACATTGGAGAAGATGCATTTTAATATAATTATTTAAGTGCAAAGAAGATATCTTGTATAATGTTAATTAAAAAAAATTATGAGACAAAAAATATTGGGAGAGAGCAACGGAATGTAGACTTAGACAAATTACATTGGTATCATGAATCAATTTGTTTCAATGCTAGGTTAGTTATGTGATCAATTTTGTTGTTATTAAATTGGAAATGCATGAAGTGCAGAAAGGAATTTCTTAAAATTTTCATTGAACTTGATAAGGCTTATGATTTAGTACTATAAGGAGTGATTTTGTGTGCATCAAGAAGATGGTTTGTGTGGAATATTTATTAAAGGAATTAATGAAATGCATGATTGAGATTCCCTAATTTTAGAATTAGGCATTAACTAAAAATTACCCTATTATAAGATGGTTACATCAAGGAACAATATTAAGGCCACATCTTTTTTGTATTAATTATGGATTTGCTTATGAAGGATATTAATAAGTTTATATTTGTATGTTTTTTGTAAGCAACATAGTTATAATTGGTTAAATATTAGCTAAAATAAATGGGAGGTCAGAGCAATGAAGAAAATATTTATAAGGATGTGGGCTCCGAAAATTCGGCCCCAGCCTCCGCTCGCTTTTCTTTTTTATTCGGCGAAAGAGTTTTAACTGAATAATTTCCGAGGTAAATTTTGGAAGGCAGATGAGTTTGTAGATAAGACACTACCCAGAGATTTCGCCCTCATTTTGTGAGGACTTTATGATCTGAGTTCTGGTTTCCTATAGGCGCAAGCCCCTATAGTTAATTACCCCTCCCGATCACGAGAGAGAACTTTCGATTAAGGGTAGTCATCAATCAGATACGTAGAGTATACGTGGTATCTGGCATATAGTAGCAGCAATGGGTTTGGAAATTTGAAAATGTTTGATTGTTTGGAAATGGTTGAGAGTTTGGAAGTTTGATATTTAAAATTTGAAATTGCACCATCTTGCACTTAAGGCGGATGGTGGGGGAATGGATGATAGACTCGATCAAGATCCCAGCGAGCGCTCACGGCGCTGACGT